ATGACAATCATGAATCCATTATCAAATGTCAGAAAAACCCATATGGTTCACTAATGCCCTTCAGGGAAGAAACCTACCGTTCTTACCTGGTCTGGCCTACATGTGACTTCAGACCCACAGCAATGTGGTGACACTTAACTGCCATCTGGGCAATTAGGGATGGGCAACAAATGCTGCCTAGCCAGTGACACCCTCATCCTATGAATAAATTAAAAACACAAAACTCAATCCAGCCAATTACAGTCCTATCAGTCTATTCTCAACAACCAGTAAAGTGATGGAAGGGATCACAAACAGTGATATATTGTGGGACTTCTAAGTTGGTTGGAGTCATACCTAGCACAGAGGAAGATGGTTATGGTGGTTGGAGGTCAATCATCTCAGATAGCAAGGTGTAGAGCTGGATGAACACAGCAGGTCAAGCAGCATCAGAGGCAGGAAAGCTGACGTTTCGGGCCTAGACCCTTCTTCAGACCAACGTCATCACTGCAGGAATTCCTCAGGATAGGGTCTAATCCCAACAATCTTCATCTACTTCATCAATGATGTTCCCTTCATCACAGGATGAATGTGAGAATATTCACTGATGATTACATCATTCATAACTTCTCAGATAATAAAATAGTCCACATCCAAATGCAGCAAAGCCTAGAGAGCTTCTAAGCTCAAGCATATAAGTGGCAAATAACATTGGCACCACACAGTTGACCATCTCCAACAATTGAGAAACTAATCATTGACCCATAATGTTCAATAGCATTGATGACACTGACTCCTCCACTCTCAACATCCTAGGAGTTACCATTGACTAGAAATTGAACTGGATCAGCCATATAAATACAGTAGCTACGAGGGCAGTTCAGAGGTTAGAAATTCTGTGACAAGTAACTTACTTCCTGTCTCCCCAAAGCCTATCTGCCATCTATGAGGCACAAGTCAGGAGTGTCATGGAATGTTCTCCAGTTGCCTGGATGACTGCAGCTCCAATAAAACTTAAGACACTTGATACCAACCAGCAAGAAGCATCCCGCTTGATTGGCAGCCCATCCACTACCTTCCACATTCAGTCCCTTCACCACCGAATCACAGTGGCAGTAGTAAGGACCATCAATAAGATGTGCTGTGGTAACTCACCAAGGCTTTTCCAACTTCACCTTCCAAACCCATGACCTGTACCACCTGGAAGGACAAGGACAGAAGATGCATGGCAGCATCACCAGTTGTTAGCTCCCCTCCAAACTACAAACACTTAACTTGGAACTATACCATTGTTCCTTCAATGTTGCTGAGTAAAAGTCCGGGAGCTCCCTTCCTAACACCACTGCGTGTATCCCTATATTCTGAGGACCGCAGCTCACCACCATCTTTTCCAGACAAGGAGAAGTAGGCAATAAATGGAAGCTTAATCAGCATGTCCACATCCCATAAATGAATTAAGAAAAAAATATTGATTTGTATTGAGTTTTGTATATTTAATATTTGTCATCATTCCACTGATAGTATAGCCGTTAGAAAACATTTGTCTACTTTTACTCTGTTACTAATTTTGACTTATTTTCAAATGTTAATTTTATGTTAACATACCAGAATCACAATTATTCAAATCTTAAAGAACAGATTTGAATTTCTTTCCTTGATACCTTAAGAAACATTTGTCATATAAGGCAATATGATCTACAGTAGCTACTTATAATCAAAGTGATGCAAGTTACTTCAGTATTATCATTTTTGCACTAGAAAACCAACTTGAACCTACCATACAGTGCCTGTATTCCCACAACATCATCATACGGTAGTCTGAACTCTTGAATGGTTGAATATGAATATGTGGGGAACATCAAAGCACCCACATCTTGAGAATGAGCCATTCCCAGAGCATGTCCAATTTCGTGAGCAGCCACCAAGAACAAGTTATATCCTGTAAAGGCATACATAACATTCCATTGTAACAGCCCATTTCTAAATTTTATTACAAGACAGAGAATCTTAAAGTCTCAGTTTAGAATGATGGCTTCACAGAGGAGTGATTAGTATAAAGTTACAACATTCTGTGTAATAAATAAACATACAGCTAAAGTAAGAAATAAAACTGTACCTGTCCAGAATGATTTAATACACAAGTTGTGTTCATAAATAGGCATATATTTATAATAAGAAAAAAAATTCTGTTATTGCATTTTCAATCCAATTCTTCAGTTAATTTGCATTTAGGATTTGGAATATAATTACTTCTGGAGAATACTAATGTGTAATTTTCCACATACAAATAACCTACTTGGCCAATGTGGAAAATAAGTAAATTGCTGTATCTAATCCAGACTGTTTTGAATAATGAATTCTAAAATGGAAGCTGTCTTTCCTGACTAAATTTCAAATGGAACTTAAAGTCTGCGTATGTGCAAGCATGACACATAATGTAAAAGATGGTTGCAAATGCCTTCACTTGGCCAGTTTACTCCATAATAACTGTGGGGCAGCTCCTTTTTTGAGGCAAAATGTCTGCCAACCCTTATTTAGAGCATGAAGTCCCATCTCAGAGAGTTATCAGTCAGTCAAATGGCTGGCGGCTGTCTTGTCCTGGCATTGCCACCAGGAGCAGTGGCTACTGTTGGCACTGCAACACTTCTGATGGAATCAAGCTGCGTTGGAGATAGACTTCAAAGTCAATCCCGGGTCTTGCCTTGATGGGCTGAGATTAAGAAGGATGGGGCTGGGGTAGGCTGGTCTGGGGATGAGGGAAACACAAGGGTCAAGGGGTTACATTTTGAAGGGCCCTCTGCTTCACACAGGAGACATTCAAAGAAAGCAACTCCTCTTGCCCAGGCACTGGCATGCCACATTTCAATGAGTGGGTGGCATACTTCATGCTGGCCTTCTTCCAATAAAGGCAAAAGTAATTGGCTGTTTTAGAGCCACAATTTGGTAAGTGAGGGTTAGGGGTTCCCAATACCTGCCCCACTGCTGGTGAAACTATAGCTGAGGCATTAGGCACCAGCCACTAATTATTCCCAACAGTACGATATTGGGTACCTCTGAATATCTTTAGTTTGATCCAGAGAACTAAATTCTGTTGTTCAGCTATTCATCTCATCCATGTAAAATTTAGCTTAACAAATGTCCATGAAATATTTTCGTTTGAAAACTCCTGTTGCTGATCAAGAGGTATAAGAGGTAATTTCTAAAAAGACTATTTACCCTCTTGCAAACTAATTTTATTTTTTAATTCTACGTTTTCATATTTTGCTGTTGCTGTTTGATTATGTTTTCCTATTCATAAGTAAATCTGTTCACTAGTCTTTCACAAAAGATATGAGAGTATGATGGGCAACACGCACTGTCTCCAATGTTCAATATGCGGCGAAAAAGTTAAGAGGAATTTTATTCTAGTCATCTCAGACATGGCATACATAACAGTGCAACTTTCTAATCATGGGAGAAGCAATCAGTTAACAGAAGATACAACTTATGTAAAATATTCAAATTATAACTATGTTTTTCATCAAATTCTGAGGTACCAATAATGTGGCAAGGAAAGAGATTGAAGGGCAGCACCATGTACAAACAAAATAGCTAGCCAAATGGAAAGAGGAGAATTTGAAATATAGGTAACTCTGGTCTACTCCCTTGCCTCTCTTAGCTGTCAACTAGAGTTTGTTGAGGCCTTAGATAAGATTCTCTGCTCATTCATTGGGTAGTGCAAATACTGAAAATGTAACTATTTAAAATTAAAATAAAATGAACAAAATAAAAATATAAGTAAAAACCGAAGAACTGTGGATGCTATAAATTAGAAACAAAAACAGAAATTGCTGGAAAAGCTCTGCAGGTCTGGCAGTATCTGTCAAAAGAAATCAGAGTTAACGTTTTGGGTCTGGTGACCCTTGCTCAGAAGGGAATGCTGCTAGATTGGTCAAGTGTATAAAAGTAGCTGAAAAGTGGCTGGGAAATGGCTTACTCAAAAAATGCTTTGATGTTACAATAATTTTAATTGAATATGCCAAGTCTGTAACTCAAACAAGTTTTTTAGATGACAATGGACTATATTCTGAGTTTGATTGCAATATTTCAACTTTATACCTTTTGAGTCCATTGACCAAGTTTCAGCTTCATCAAAATGAATATCACCTCCAAGTCTTGGACCTGGTGGAAAGGCATGTGCCAGAATGCCATCAGGACCATCAAATGGATATCCATCGCCATGTTCTAGCAAAACAAAATGAAAAGATAAACCATTATTGTACTTGCTTATGTCTCCCTAATTCACCTCAATATCAAAAATACTGTTCAGTTACCTCTAGGTGTGAAGGATATCAAAAGGTCAGCTTCGCTGTTGGAAATACTGGTGAATTTCAATGGTGTGACATCACTCCACACTTTGAACGCTGCTTTGATAGCTGTAACCACTTGCTTCGGTTTAATATCTGGACTATAGTTGGTGATCCTTTCAGAAAATAATCAGAAAAGGAGCTAAAATACTATAGTTATTATCAAAATACCTCCAAAAATACCAGAGAAATATCAAATTTACCTGTAAGTCAAGTTCTTATGTGACCATTTGATTCTGCCTGGAAAGTGATTGTACTGAAGACCATCATGAAACCCACATCGAGGTTTCTTCATGATTTCTAAAGTTTCAGAATTCAGCTCACCAGTTACTAGGATGCCAAAGAATTTTTGCATTTTTATAATATTTTCTCTTAGATTATCATCACTACTTGTTTTCAGACCATCAGAGGAGTCATAAAATTGATGGAGATATTGCTGGAAAAGCAGAACAACACAATGTTAACAAACATTGCTCAAACATGCAACTTTTTGAATGATTTATAATATAAATAGTTTTTGTCTTAACTTTTAAATCCTTGAATACCTTAGCAAAATCCAAATCATGCTGACTTGTCTCAGAGGACCAGGACAATGTAAACACAAATGTAGAATTAAGCAGTATCAGAAGAAATGGAACCTGGAAGCATTTCATTTTCTTCTTGATTGGAGACGTGAGATGGATACTGTTTCTCTCAGCCACTTTTATACATTTGACTGATCTCACAGCATTGCATAATTCATCCAAACTTGCCATAAACGGACATAAACTAAAAGATTGCAACAAGGGCCAGGATATGATTTTTACTTTTAAAAAAAATTTGGACATCATTGACAGGAAACCACTTGGTAGCTCTGTTACTGTTGCAAGGCCATTTGTTCGTGGACACTAAAACAATAATGTGTTCTGCTCCTTTAGTATTTTCCATTCCATCATTATGATCTGTTTCTTTGAATCCCTCTTCCCTACCTTACCATTCTCACCTGCAAAAATAAACGCTAGGAGCTCATGGACTTTACATTATGTTTGAGACCATCCATTCAGCTACTTATGCATAATATCAATTTCCACTTACCTACAAAGTTATCATGCCCTGGTTGGATTTGGATTATTTTCAAATCTCTTTTCAATATCTTTACATGTGTCTTGGATCGCAGAGCGTATACAAGTGGTTCTTTTTGAATTCGGTTAAATATAGTTAAGAGAAAGTTTGACAGCAGCAATATGCTTAAATGCAAACATTTATTGAGTAATAATAAAAGATGAGAAAAGAAAGGAACATTTATTAAGTAAACAAAAAGAATGAAAAGGAGAGGAAAGAAACAATAAGCCTCACGCCCTTCTGCCTGTTGGGGACCCCTCGATCAATGACTGGTCTGGAGGCTGAGGTTGTTCCTGACACCGTTTGTGATCCCGGTCTGAGGTGAAGCCCAGCAACTTGGAACAAAGCTCTCTCTTATACAGTGTAACAAACAGAAAAACAATTACACAAAAACACATTGATTGCGCCATCTTCGACAAGTACAGGAATGTTCACAGGATTCATTCAAGATCATGCAGCTGTCCAATATCATCAACAATTTTAATCCTTCAGCCCACCCTATACAATCCACCCAGATTATATTTGACAGTGCATGTTACAATTCCAGATGCAGATGTAAATCAGTGAAAGCTCTGTGCAAGAACATATAATAAGAGTACGTAACCTACACTAGAAAATTAAAACTGCAATGAAAATAACTATCATGAATAGGAATAATATAACAATAGGGTGTATCATCAAATTAATGATTGCAGTGGCCTTTGGGGACCAACCCTTAAATATATATCACATCCTGATATACATTCAAGGCCGTGATGGAACCAGTAAGTTATGCCACCTGACTGAGGTGGCTAGAATATTGTCTATATTATTTTTTCAGTTAATCTAGTTACATAATTTGCTCTAAAATTCAGTCTATTCCAGATTCAGATTCCTTAATTTGTGAGTTTTTTTTAAATTCTCCAGTTTCCTATCCACAGATCACCTCACCCAATAACAGTAAAATAACATCATGCATGGACTCAAAGTTTCTCCAGTTCTCTTCATCTGTGTCTGTCTTGAGGATACTTCTTCAATATGTTTCCTTCCTTGCCAGTTTTATGAATGATTGTATCATTTAGTGGTAACTACCTCCAAATGCAAGTATCCCCTTTGAGCTACAATATACGTGGGATCAAACAATACAGCTCTAACGGTCATCAGGCTCCACCTTCAACTTATGCTTCCAGCCTTTCATTTTTCCCGGGGTTCCATTACCACAGTTTCCTACGCCACCTGAGTTTTAGTTCAGCCTACTTTCACATATACTAACTGTCCTAACGCGTTACAATTTCACCTACTGCTTTAGTCGTAAAAAATGCTCAAGATGGGGTATCTGTATGTCAACCAATGGGCCCTTTCACTCAGTCCACCATTACTCCTCTCAGAGTCTATATTCTTTCATTGCTGTAACATTTTGACATAATAACCATCACACCTTTTATTTTGATCATAATTCTTCTTACATCCCCTTCACTAATATTACTTTCATTGTTTTAAAATCAGTTTCTCTCTGGATTCTGTGTCAGTGTCTCATCATTTAAACTATGTTTTTGTGCTGTTCCAAGCCACACTAATCCTTTTGTCAAGTAGGTGTACATGTCTGAGATCCATTCGTCAGTGCATTTTTTTTTATCGTTTTATGTTTGTTACCTCCAAGGTAATATTCACTTTTGCACACTTAGTTCGGTATCCCAAGACCATGTCACACATTCTTGTCTCCCACATGATCTTGTCAAATGATCTATGAGGTTTTGTTTATCTCTTCACGTATGGTCCCGATGCCTCAAGCAGTGGCTTGATCACCAATTCAATCTTTCTTAAGAAGAGAGACAAGGACACAAACATCACCAAGAAACAGCTATGAGTTTGGTACTGTCATCTAAACTTGCTTTACGCAAAAATGCATTTTAACCTCAATTGCTGTTTCAACTCATTATTCTAATTTTCTTTTCTTCTGCCACCAGTTTCCACCGTTAATTACTTTGTCTCATCCAATTTTGCAATTTAACTATTACCACCACATCTAAATCCAGAGAACTGTAGAGATTTGTAGTCCATAGAACATAATCTTATATTTTAAGACAGAAGTCAAACATTTCTGCTTGATTCAGGCACAATATACTTTGTTTGTTCTTTTTCTCAGATGACCCACTATTTTTAAAGATACTTGATAACTCATCTAGATATTTGATATACCTCTGTGTAAATTTGTCCAAATTCAATATTCTGTTTAATCCCTTAAAGTTACTAACCATTGTCACACACTGAAACCATTGTGTGTGCATGCAATTTATCATTTCCCAGAAACTCTTTAAATTTTCAGGTAATTATTTTATATTTTATAAATGTTTTAGAATACCAGGGCATTGTCAGTCTTAATGTAGTTTTTGTCATGATATGCTTAAGTGTACCCAGGCTCAGTGGTTTCAAGATTCTTGATACTCACTGCAATTGATATTTCCACAGTACTTCCACGACACTGAAATGTGTAATTGATGAATGGCTTGATGGGTTGAGGGTGCCTCATCCATCACTGTGTTGCAATGTTGAAATTCTGCAAATGGGTTCAGCCTGCAGTGTCTCCAATTTCTAAAAAAATGAACAAGCTCCATCCATTCCACATCAAGCAGAATGGGTTAATTAGTATTAATCTGCTACAGATTCAAAAAGAAGGGGGTGGGGGGTAATGTCCTGCACGTAATTACATCATCTGTCTCTCCCCCTCCTTGAGGGAGGGAAAAGCCCACCTCTTTGTTAAATTTGCCTTTTCAAAACTCCTCGCACACAGTGAGTTGCATTTTCAACATTCCCATGTCGCTATCACTTAGATATTAACAATGAGTCAATCTTATCAAATTGGAATTAAAGATCCACTTGTGTTAAAACAATGTTTAGAAGTTCACTCTGGCCAGAAAATGAAATTCCAAACATGGTAATCTCTGGAATTAAAGTTTACCTGGTCCAAACACAACATGGAGCCAATTCCAAAAGATAAATTTTTACCAGCTTTATGAAGCAAATTTTTTAATCAACATTTCAGATTTTTTTTGGTTTGTACAACCATTGATGGTTTCTTAAAAGGACTTTACATTAACCATTTATGTTCCACACTAATACAGGTACACAACCCACTTTCAAATCACCATACATTCCCAAAATGCATAGTAAAATTTCAAAGTATCCCAGATCTCGAGCTCCAGGGAACAAAAACACACAAATTATTCAGGACAACATTTAGCAACCAACAAACAAAGGTACATTCAAACCAGACCACAAAGAGTTAACACTTCTACAAGGTTCAGTGCACTTGTACAGTGCAGAAACCTGGCCTCTAGTTTTCTCTTTTTCTAGTTATAGCTGCTCCCCATCCTTTCAGAGATCCTAATTGTGCTAATATATCAGCTACAGACCAGAATCCAGAGTTTGCCACTTAGGAATACAGAAGGTTTCTGGAGCATGAAGTTGTTTTTCTCAGTTCTTACACATTTTCCAAATCCCATCCTCATCACCAAAAATGTCTTGGATCACAGAGTGTATCCAAGCAGTTCTTTTCGGATTCAGTTAAATGTAGTTAAGAGAAAGCTTGACAACAGCGATTTGTTTAAATGCAAACATTTATTGAGTAATAATAAAAGACCAGAAAAGAAAGGAGCATTTATTTAATAAATAAAAAGAAAGAAAAAGAGAGGGAAAAATCAATAAGCCTTCTGCCCATCGGGGACCCCTCATTTGATGGCTGGTCTGGCACCGTTTGCGATCCCTGTCCCAGGTGAAAGCTAGCAACTTGGAACAAAACACTCTCTCTTATACAGTGAAACAAACAGCCAAGCAAAACAAAAACAATTGCAGAGAAACACATTTATTGTGCCATCTTTGGCATGTACAGGAATGTTCGCAGGATTCATTCAAGATCATGCAGCTGTCGAATTTCATCAACAATTTTAGCCCTCAGCCCATCCTATACAACAAGTTCACCATGAGATCCACTTTGTGTTCCATTAAACTGTTCCCACTGATATTGTATGTCAACGTAAATGGTTTTATTTCTCAAATAACTCAACGTTCACAAATGTTCTTTCTAAGATGTGCTAGCGTTCAACTACATTGTAATCCAGAAGAGAGAAAAGCAGGTTATGCACAAGTAAATGGTTCCTTTAAGATGTGCATATATACTTCTGTAAGGCAATCTTATAGGACTACAGTGTACAATAAAAGGGTTAGGCACAGAGCAAGGGAAATTTGAGGGGACATTACCCTTGAAAATTGTCACCCACCTCCTACGATCTTTGCTACGCCAAAATCATTGCGCGTCTTTTACTTTGCAGACCTGAGCTTATCTTTCATACTGTAGGCATATGCACTCCAAAGTTTTTGTGTTCCTGAGCCCTATAGAATCCTATCCTCTCACTTATATTGTCTGTCCTCATTCTTCCAATCAAAATACAGCACTTTGCAATTAAATTTTGTCTGTCATATGCCTACTGTTATCAGCCTATATATGCCCTTTTGAAGTCCATCATTATTCTGTAAACATTTCATTTCACTTCTAAATCTTGTACCCCTTGGATTTATTCTGTGACTAAATACGTATGGAAGAGTTTTTGATTTT